CTGCTCTGGAAAACGTGCAGCTCAGCCTGGCTGCCTCACTGCCCAGCACGCAGGTGGCATGGGCCTGAGCGCTCCCTCTGCAGACACACAGGAGAAAGAGCATGGATTTGCCTTCCAAGGCTGCCAGGCAAGGCCAGTCAACCTCCTGGTCCTGGTTCCTTGGGTGACCGAGGCCTTTAAAATTATGGGTGGGTGGTGAGAATCGGGGATGGGTGGGGTGTTGGAAGCCAAGAGATTTTTGTGTCATCACACACCGGAGACTTCCAGGTGACCTTAGCCAACATTATTTGGTGATGTTTGGTGACTTGTCCAAGATCACACAGGTGGGTCCTAGCCACACACATCATGACTGTGGGCCCCTCTCTTGTCACCTGGGATAGGGGATAGGTGGAAAACAGTAGAAGTCTCAGACTAATTTTTCCCGTGAGGGGTTGGGTGCAGAAAGAACAACAGGCTCCTATGCCATCACAAAGAACTAAGAGCTGCTTCAGATCCCACTCCCAGCCTCCCAAGGCTCTGTCTCTGCTGAGAGGCTAGGGGTGAGGATGTGTGCTGTGGTAGAGGAGCATTGGCCCTCAGAACCTGGACAAGCATGAGCTGTGGGCTGTGCAAGAGCCTGCTAGGGAGCTGGCTCTCCATGGATCCGGCTTTCTCCTTCCTGGGTGCTCCAGCTCCTCCCAAGAGGTCTCCAGGGAGCAGACGCCGCCATTGCCAATCACAAGCATTTCATCCCGGGAAGATGAAAGAGACAGTGCTAGGAGGCGTTTCTGCTTTCCCTTCACTGAACTGAGGGAAGCAGCCGGTCACCGTGGCTCTGCAGGTGCAGGAAATCTGCTCAGCCCAGCCTGTAGCCGTGAGCACACCCTGTTTGAGGAGGGAGAGCTGCCCGTGGAGGCATGCCTGGACCTTGAGGGGCTGGCTGGAAGGGGGGGCCAGCATTTCCTTCTTCAGCATCTTTTCTTCATTTCTCCTCCTCCAGAGCCCTATGACCTAACAGATTTTCCTGGTTCCAGGGGAGTTGCCTTCCCTGGTTGGTGTCCCCGGCTCCAGGTTTTTTTTCTTCTGATTTTCTCCCTGAATCTCTCCTGTGCTCTGCCCTCTCTTCTCCATGCCTCTGCCACTTTCTCTGAAAAACCAGATGGTGGCATTGGTTTAAGAGCTTCCCCTCTCTTTCTGGTCTCAGCCCTTCTGTCAGAATTCCAAGAGTCCTGGGTGTCCAGAGACCAGGGCTGCGGCCCTCACTCTTCCACTTCCTGCTGGCCAAGTCACTCAATGCTCCCAGCCCTGTTGAGTTAGTGGGCTGTGCTGTAATCTCACAGCTGTTTCCAGTTGTAACTGAGGGACGTGAGCTTTATGAGGGGCAGGCTGAGTTGCTCACCTGATACTCAGTCACAGATTTTGATTCAACCTAGGAATAGGATCAGCTCGGGCAAGCAATGAAAGAGGTCACTGGAGAGAGCTGGAAAACAGAGGCAAGGGGTGTGTGTGCAGGTGTGTGTGCAGGTGGTGGGTGCACATGCACTGCAGTGTGGGGAGAGGGAGTGGTGAGAGCAGATCCGATGGCAAGTGCTTGCCCAGAGATGCCTCCAGAACATTCCAGACAGTTGACTGGGTGAGGAAGGGGAGCCAATGTGCAAGGAGGGAGACCACTCCTGGAGAAGGCCTCCTATCCTCGCCTCCCAGCCCTCCTGCTGTGCTCGTCTGCTTGGGCCCAGGCCCTCCAGGAAGACGCTATGTGCTGGCAAGGAGGGAAAGCTGGGGGGGGGTTCAGCACTAGGGAGCACTTAGGGGATGAGGGAGATACTCTCCATGGAACCCTCTATATCCACCTGCTCTGCCTGAGGAGTCCCCTCCCTGTAGGTATCATTCTTCTGTTGTCATTCAAATTAACCACTTAAACAAAAAATGGGGTGACCAGCCCATATGTGCAAGACCCTGGGGCTAAGGCTGTGGGGGCATAGGAGAGGAGGAAAGGAGCAGGGTATTAGTCTTCCCATGAGAGACCCACAGAACACAAGCAGTCCTCAAATTGCAGACTGGCTGCCACGGTGGAGCCTATGGTGGAGGGGTTGGGGGGAGGGAGGGGAAAGAGAGGCATCTGGTTTACTCAACTTGCTAAGGTGGGTCCCCTCCGTGGAGGGATCTTTGCACTGAGATAGGCCTGTGTTTTTATTATGAGATCCTTGAGGGTAGGGACTGTGTTTTATTGCCTTTGATACCTCCAGTGCTTAGAACAATGCCTGGCACTGAAAAGTTGGTAAGATTTTTATGGCATTTAATGGATGTTTGATGAATAAATACATGATTCCCTTCCAGCGCTCCCTTAAAGCACCATGTATTTAATCACATGAAGACAATTATGCCAGACTAATCTGATATTCTTATGCCTGGGCTGCCTTTATTCCCTCCTTTGCCTTCATTGATTCTTTCTCTTATCTCTGTTTGATGCCTTAGATGTGTTGAGTCCAAACAAGAAGGAATACACACACACTCTCTCTCTCAGCACATTACCAACCACCTCCATTCCTGCAAATGCGGCAGATTCCATCTGAGAAGCTATTAAGACTCCCAAACAGAGCAAACCTCTCACTGACTAGCACAGGCCTCCTCAAATGATCTTTGAATAGCATTTTCTTTTTATTGCTTTGTGTAGTTTAACAGCACAAATCTCGATTACTCTAACTTATGATAAACCCCAGATCTATAAAGTGACTGTTCATTCATTATTTTCCTCCTGCTCCTTTTCAAGCTGTTCACTTTTTTTGGAATGTAGTGAGCAAAAGGGGAGATGGAATGAAGGGAGAAGAAAATAGAAAGATACCAAATTATCAGGGAAACAAGTGAAAAAGGAACCACTTCTCCCCAGGTGACAGACAGCCTACTGGATACTGTTAAACAGAGCAAATATACTTTCATATACCACAAGTAGATCTTTTATACTTATTCTAAATTGGAAATACTATGATCGCTGCCTTATCATTAATGGAAGTAGTTAACTCTTCCAATATCTCACCAATTCCAGCAAATGGGAAAATAATTATTTTTTCTTTACTATTTTCCCAGTTGTTCAGGTGTTCTGTGTAGCACTGTCATAAATTTTTACTTCATGATCAATGTCATGGCTGCTATTCTGGTTCAATTATTAATATGTGGGGACTTATAATTATCTTTCTTGAGTATTGGTATGAGATAATTATAAAGCATAAAACAGCTACCGTACTTGCTAGGGCATTTTCTTATTTGCAGATGTGTTGGGAGTTTGGGAGGGTGAGCTTTAGAAAGGGATAAAAATGTATAATATAACATTTAGGTGACAAGGCTGGTTGCAGCAGAAGTAGAGGATCCTCCTGCTTCAGGTCCCTCCCACCCCTTCACACCCAACCTGTGGACAAAGTTGACCTACTCAAGAATCTCCTTCTGCCCCACTGTTCCACCCTACCCCTCTCTTATCTCCACATTCTTAGTGGAGACTTGCAACTCAGTGCAAATGTTGGGTCATTCCTTTGCCACCTTGTTGTTTCCTCAGTCATCTGGAAGCTGGGGCAGACACCCAGAGCATAAGGTTTCAAATGCAACTCAGCTCCTAACTTTGGGGCTTCCTCATTCCCTGTGAACTTCATTTCAACTTCTCTAATGAGTATCGCCAGCAAGAGAATACATCTATTCAGAACCATGGACAGAGGCATACTCTCTGCTCCCATAGGCAGGGTTTACTGCCTAGCATTGCGGGCTAGATAGCGGTGTTGGTTGAGAGAGAGGAAAGTGAGTAAAAGAGAGAAAATGCAGCCCCCTACCCCAGCTGTATGCAGGGAGCTCCTACAAGAGGGAAGTGGGTTCTTGTTGCTTCTGCCTTCTCACACAAACACGTGGCAAAAATGGGGGAGTCTCACTTCCTGTGTTTAATTGTGCTGGTCTTGTAACACTGTCACCGTGCTGGGTGCTGGCAACAGACCCATAACTGGCAAGGGCTCAGGTCTGGGGCACACATGGAGGTATGAGGGTTGTAGGCTGGGTCGGAAGGAGAAGCAGCTGACAAGTATGGGAAGAGGGCACTGGGACTATGCTGTGGCCTAACTCTGGGGACAGAGGTTCTTGGGGTGAGCTGCCTCCTCCTAGCCTGGAGTGGGAATGGGGCTACAGGGTCTCTGGGCCTTGGGAAAGGAGGAGTCAGCTCATGGCAAGCTGGGCTGGTGGGGAGCCAAGGCATCATTTGTCTGACTTTAATGAATAAATGGCACCCCCAGCCATTGTTTATCTACTTTTGAATCCTGACAAACAGTCTGTGGCATCTGATGGAGAGGGTTATTAGTTGCACAGAGACAGATGGCCGGGGATGGAGAGGATTGGTTCTTTATTACAGCAGGCCTGTAAGTGACAGCACGCCTCTCACATGCCAGCCTCCACAGCAATGCCAAGACCTCCCAACCAAGCCTCCTGTGGCCCACGTAAGCCTCAACGGAAAGACCCAGTGCAAAAGGAAGGCAGAAACCCTCATCATTGACAGGGAGAGGCAGGGGTGCAGGGGCTGCTGGGGCAGATTTCCCAGCATAAGTTCTTTGGTAATAAAAACACTGCTATATTCTTTAGTGCCCTGTAATGTGTTACGTATTCTCTAGGCATTTGAGAAAAGCGGATGATCGACAAGAAAGGCAGACAAGGCTGGATTAGAAAAGATGAAAGGAGTAGATTTAATTGGACTGGGAGGTGGGTGGGGAACAAAAGATAGGGAAGAGACAAGAAGAGAAGTAGGGGACACAGAGGGAGGAAGGAAGGTAGTATAAGGAGAGCACTTGAAAATCAGCATGCTCTATCCCAGGCATTAGCTACTCCTCCCCATGCTGCTGCATTGAGAACTTCATGGAATTCAAGCTGATCTGCTCAGGTGTCCTTTTTGAGGTGTCCCAGGCTCTCCTTCCTGGTTTCTCCATACCATGGTCATAGGGCATCCCCTCCTCCCTCCATACTGCCCCTGAGATGGTGGGGAGGGGGTTCTCACTGACCTTCATTCATTCTCCGAAACTTGTCCTTGGCCATGTAGCCCAGCACCAGACAGCATCCTCTCCTCTGGAGGCCCAGCTCTGGAAAAAAGCACAGGAGAGTGAGTTGGGAGTGGTTCAGGTGTTAGGGGAGGCCCCTCTGCAGGGCCTTGTAGAGCTTATCGCTCTTATAAACAAGGCTTGTTGCCTATACAAACATTTGTATAGCACTTACTATGATCCAGACATACTTTTAAGCCATTAGTTCTTATTTGACTCTCACAACAACCCTGTGAAATAGGTGCTATTGTCCCCATTTTATGTGATTCCTGTTTTTAGATGCAGTAAGTGACCTTAGATGAAAGACCTAGCAGGTGGTAGGGACAGAATTTTGAACCTATGCAGTCCATGCTCATCATAGCCATTATTTTATTAATTTATTTCAAAAGATTTTTTATTTACTTGAAAGGCAGAGTGAGAGAGAAAGAGAGAAAGAGAGAGAGAGAGAACGAGTGAGCTTCCATCCTCTGGTTCACTCTCCAAATGGTTGCGATGGCCAGGTCTGGGTCAAGACAAAGCCAGGAGCCTGGAACTCCATCTGGTTCTCCCACATGGGTAGCAGGAGCCCAAGCACTTGGGCCATCTTCCTCTGCCTTCCCAGGTACATTATCAGGGAGCTGGATCAGAAGTGGAGCAGCTGAGTCTTGAATTGGTGGTCATATGGGATGCTAGCACCACAGGTGGTAGCTTAACCCACCGTGCCACAGCGCCGACCCCTATTACCATTACTTTCTATCCCAGACTTGGAGACCATGCCTAGACCCCCAGAGATGTGGCCAGGCCTGCCAGACAAGAGGCAGATTCTAACCAGGCATGTCCAGGATGGAACAGGCTAACTGAATACAAAGGGTGATTTCACAAGGATGAGTGAGAGACTGGGTGAGTTTGGAGGAGGATTCAGGGACTGAAGTATGGGCAGAAGGACTCTCTGCCATTGGTGAGGGGGTAGTTTCAGGAGCTGGGAGCTCCTGTGCATTGAGGCGCAATCCAGCACCATTATCCAGCACTTATGAGCTAGACAGACTTGGAGTTCAGGGTTGGGACAGCTGAGACACACAGGACTCCACAGAGCTCCAGCCATACTGGAAACAAGATCAAATGATGAGTCTGGGTAGCACATGCAATATTCAATCTTTTTTTTTTTTTTTTGCATAGTATTTTGTGAATTGGTGCCCACTGTTGTGAGCATTGGATTGGAGTGTATTGGCCTCACAGGAAGGGAAGCTTTTCTCTGTGGTATTTGTCTTTTCATCCTGATTTGTCTTAAACATTTTGTGGGTTCTGAAGTGTTTCCATGCTCAGTTTCTCTCTGGATCCCCACAACCTCATGAGATGGGCAGGTGAGCCACCTTGTCCCATTACACAGAGGGGAAAGACAAGGTGCAGTGAGATTAAACGCTCCCCCTGATTACTACACACTCTCTATGCCACCTCTTTCTTGGAAGTCATACACGCGGGTCAGCTGCCATAAAGAAGGGAGAACAGGTGAGGGCGGCCCCTCCCAGCTCTGCCAGGACAGAGAAGGAAGGTGTGTCCCTGAGCCCCAGCTGGGTCAGTGCCTGCACTGGACAGGAGGCCGGCAGTGTGGGCTTGTTTCTCCTCCTCTCCAGCAACCTTCTGCTGCCCATGTCCACCTTTCCAGGGGAGCGGGAGGAAAGGGAGTGGGGGGGCATGAGATACAGATAAGTCAAGCGTGGGTGCTCGGGCCCTAGAGAAAAACAAAGCATGGCGGGCGGTGGCAGAGTGCCACGGGCTGGGGAGGTCGCCTGCTTTGATCTCCCGATTCTGTAAAGGGGTTTATTGCCTATCAGTAAAGAGCAGAGAGGCAGATCTGAGGGCGCATTTCCAAAGGCACTCACTTCTCTGCCTTCCCCTCCACACTGGCTTGCGTGCCAAGCCGCCCTCACTTCAAACAGCCTCACATCTCAGGCGCCCAAATTGTTGATGTTAAGTTCCCCCATCCAAGGCCTTGGCCCTTTCTTTGGGGGCTCCTGCTCTGTCGAGGGCTTCGTGGATCAAAGCCCCTTTGATGTTTACTTACTATATTTGTGGATTCTTTCTAACAACCACCTTCAAGAGACAGGAATATGGCATGCCAGGAGGGGACCAGCGGAAGCACAAGCCGTGAGGAGGCGCTGAGCTCCAGCCAACAATAGTCTCTTGCTGCAGGCTGTGCCGAAACCTCAGTGCACAGAGTTAACCAGCCCATTCGAATTGCACGCGTATTGTTCATCATCAGAGCCATACAATGGCTAAGGGTTCCTATTGTATTTGCCATCAGCTTCTTACGTGCATCTAAGCAGTGGTGCCTAATGAGAAAGGAAGTCTGGGCTCCTGGATTGAGTCCAGGAGGGAGCCCAGGGGAACGGTACTGGATGGATCAAGTCCATGTTCTCATTGGCCTGCTGGACAGTTCCCCGAACTCTCAGACAAACGGAAGAGGGAGCAATTCTCCTAAAGATGAGACCATGTGAGCACCTGTGGCCACCACCCCAGCTCCAGCTATCCCAGGTCACATGTCACATACCCCCGGGGTGACTGCCCACAGAGAGGCTGCCCGTGCAAACAGTGATTGTAGTAAGAAAGAGTCTCACTGATCATGTTTGATTTGTGCAAATGAGCAGGAAAAGAAGTTTTTAAAAAGGCTGATTAATAAAAGAAATTGAGGACGAGGCAATTTCTCAAAGTATTTGGCTCATTTAATTTGACACGTGTGGGTTAGTCTTAATTATTTAGGTGGCTGCATTACGAGGCGCTAATAAGCACACTGCAGAAATTTATGAAGTGAGAGGGCTCTCTGACTGAGTCTTTGCTGAAAAGTGGGGAGAAGCCAGCGGGATCTCTACAAAGGATGAGCAGGTTGTATGGGTAGTGAAGTGAGAATTAGCCAGTGGTCCATGGATGAAAATTTGGGGTGTTCTTTGGAGCTAAATAAGAGATCACTGGGTGTACAAGATAAAGTAAGCAAGCAGAGCTGAGGTGAGAGAGCGGGAGGATCTGGAGACCAGGTAGGAAGCAGGGGAGATGTCAGAGACACTGACCCCCAGGGAGAATGAGCAGGAAGCAGGAAGGAAGTGCTTTGGCTTGGAGAAACTGCTAAGCTGAGCAGACTGGGCTGTTAGCAGGAGATGACAGAATGTGACAGGGCAAACAGGAATCAACGCTGAACGTCCACCTTCTTGTTACATGGCATGGAGATGGGTGGTGGGGTCAGATCACAGATGCCCATTTGGGAACAGCAAGGTCCTGAACAAGATCTCCCCCAAGAAGGCTTTTGCGGCTGCCTTGTTTGGTTTTGTCAGTGTGAGAAGCAACCAGACATACTGAAGGCGTTCATAGTACGCGGTAAGATGAACGGAGCTCTGGCTTCACAGGAGAGCTCACAGAAAAAAGTGCAGGGTTTCTTACAGATGGAGGAGAACAAAGGTTTGGGGACTATTGTATGCCCAGTCGGCAGTTATTGGGACAGGGTGGGTATCTAGGGAGTGGGGATGTTGCAACCCTTTGGGAGTTCCAGGCCCAGTGCCTGGTACTTGGCAAGAGCTCTGAGAAATATGGGCTGGTCCCAGGTCACTTCTCCCCAACCCTGATTAGAACAGAAGAGGGGGCCTAGAGGTGGTGCATGGATTCAGGTTGCTGAGGTTGGTTGTAGAGTGGATGAAATTTGTGGGTCACAGGAACAGGAGCCTGGGGAATGCGATGGGATTTCCCCTTGCGGGGAACCAAAAAGGATGTCTCTATAAAAGGAGCCACTTTCCTTCCGTTCCAGAGTGCACAGGCGGGACTCTTGCCCCTTTTTCTCACTGGTAATATGAGGCTGCAGTGCTACCATTTCACTTTTGTGGGATACTTAGTTTTTCACGATGCTGTTATAGTCCCTATCTCTTTTGATGCTCACCGTAGCTCTGTAAGGCAGACATTATCTCCTTCATGTTGGTTTCAGAATGTGGTGTTCAGAGAAGCAAAAGGACACGCTCTGGCTGGTGCTAGCCTCAGGCTAGAAGCCAGGGCTGACTTCTGGCTGAGTTCTTAGGGTAAGGTATGGGAACCCTAGGCTGCAGAGACTGCCAGTCAAGACCCAAAGGGAAAGAACAGGGGCCTGTGGCGTGGGCTAGGACAGTAACAAGTTCAAGTGTATCCTTCTTTCCACAAATGCTTCTTTTAAAGACTGGTTTTATTTATTTTTGCCTTTTATTTGAAAGGCAGGGTGACAGGGAGGTGGGATTTGGGGAGAGAGCTCTTTCCATCTGCTGATTCACTTCCCAAATGACCAGACCAAAGCCAGGAGCCCTGTGGTTGGCAGGGGCCCAGGTACTTGGGCCATTGTCTGCTGCCTTCCCAGGTGCGTTAGCAATTATCAGGGAGCTGAGCTGGAAGCAGAACAGCTGGGACTCAAACCAGTGCTTGGATGTGGGATGCTGGGCTTAACCTGCTGTGCCACAACGTCAGGCCCCTTCCCCAATTCTTACGTTGAAGTCCTAACTCTCAGTACTGCAGAACGTGGCTGTATTTGGAGGTAGGGCTTTGCAGAGATGGTCAGGTTGAAATGAGGGCGCCACAGTGGGCCGTAATCCAGTCTGACGGGTGTCTTTACAAAAAGGGGAAATTTGGAGATGGACCCCCACTCTGGAGAAGGCCACATGAATGTAACGATGACCACGTTCAAGCCACGGAGACAGGCCCGGGGCACAGCCTTCCCTCACTGTCCCCAGAGGGAACCAACCCTGCCGAGGTCTTGATTTCGGACTCCAGCCTGCAGAGCTGGGAGAGAACCCATTTCTGCTGAGAAACCACCTAGTGTGGGGTACTTTGTGACAACAACTGTAACCAGCTGCTGATACCTATAGGGAGGGTAGGAGCTGGCCTTCTCCATGGACCTGGTGAATTCCAGTGGCCGGATTCTTAGGAGCCCCAGGTGGAAGAGCTGTGTGTGGGGAGCAGCGTCACACAACTGCTCAGCTGATCCTAACTGGCTGGAGAGTGGCCACCAGGGCTGGTAAGATGGGGCCGCGGGGCGGTAGACACACAGAGCTGTGCGGAGG